ATCAAGAACACCGAACACATAACACCAAAAAGTATAGGCACTCCTATCAAATCTAGCCATACCACATTATGCAAGTCACCTTCCGGTACCCAAATATATGGCCTTCCCTTCTTCACAAAGTATTTAACTTTTGAACTGTAGATTTCTTCTTTGCTGTAAAAGGAAACACAAGCACGCACACGAATCCATAGACATTGATTAATACACACAATAAACTACGGTGATAAACAACCATACGAGCACTGTATAACTGAATAACCAAAGCAACAAAAAAATTAGACCGGTACCTTCCTTTAGCATCAGCCTTAACTGTATTGAGAGTACCTTGCCAATTTGACGACAATATAGTCTGCAATAATAAAACGATCACTCAGATACCCATTTGATATGTGTGGTATCTAGTTAAATAGTGGTCTATACCTTGCATTTTTCGGCGAACGTTAAGACAGTAGCTCTGCTCCCTTTCATCATATGTAAAAAGGAGTGACGCACACCAACTGTTTGTTGTAATTACACAGAGAAAGTAAGTAAATGAGCATGCACCGAGGTCGCCCCGGATACCGAACCGAGGTTTAGCGAACAAAGCTTGGTTTGGGTTTTGCCGTTTGCGTGCGTGTTGACCAGAATGGAGGGGTCGAGGGTTTTGCAACAAGCCAGCGGCAAGGCGTCGACGGGTCACAAAACCCTTTTATCCGTGCTTACATTATGCAATGAACTTTGTTTTCAAGATACTTCATATATGTGCTCTATAAAATATATTTTATCTTTAGGATAATTTTGGAAAGCCTAAATAAAATAATATTCATAGAAGATTTTATATAATTTAGTCATGTATTGAATGATTGTGTCGTATCAACTTTCGTAATTATCATTTATACATGTGCAATTAATTTGTATTTTTAAAAGTTGTCCCCACTACAACATTTATTAATGTTTTCTTTTATTTTTATATTTTTTGCTTCGGTCGATGTTATAATACGTTTTTATGTAGTTTTAAGAGAAACAATAATGTTTTTATTTTTGAATAAAATACAAATATGAAGATATCATAAAATTTAAAAAAATATATATTGATATTAGTATCAAACTAACTATTTAAAATTTCTCTTTTTTTTTGTGTGATTTCTTTAATTCATTTTCTTATTATAATTTGATTTAGATTTAATAACAAAATTATTTATTTTTTAGTTTAATAATATAATTTTTTATAAAGATAATAATTAAGTATTTTGTCAGAACTCAATAATTATTCTAATTATATTTCAGATTTTTTATATTTAAAATGAGATATTTATCCTCTATTCGATTATATTTATCCGTAATTAGTTACACGAATTCAAACATGTAATTTTAATAGGTTGTACTTTCGTACAATTTACGTGTAATCATGAATTTTAAGTAATATGCATCAATAAACAGTACTTCATGTATAAAAAATTGTTTTTAAGAGTGCATGTTAAATACTTTATAATATAATATAAATTATATGCGTTCTAATTATTTTATAATTAACAGATACATAATATATATTTCTTTATTTTAATTTAATGATAATTAAAATATAAACATGAATTTCAAATAAATTGAAACAATTAAATTATTCAAAACATAACATTTATTGAATTAAAAAAATTACATACACATAATATAATAATTATATAATTTATTGTTTTAAATTTGAAACATTAATTTATTAAATCATATCAAAACACAACATTTATTGAATTAAAAAAATTACATACACATAAAAATAAAATATCACATTAAATCATAAAATGTAATTTTAGGTAAAATGTTTAAATTAAATTAATTATTCTTGTTTAAAAAATATTCTATATATTTAACCAAATTAGTTTATTTAAACAATTTTAAGGAAAAAAAAGGCAGGGAAGCGGACGTGGCCTTACAAAGATAACTGCAACATTTGCTAGTAAATCCTATGTGACATAGGAATATTTTTGCAACTGTTTTTGAAATTCAGTTTGAAAGTCGTGTATGGATAGACTTAAATTGTTATTAAAAGTTTCAGTTGTTTAAACAAATTCAATTAAAACTACGATATGCTTGAAAATAACAAGATTTATTCAGTATTTGTTTAATAATTTAATACTTAAAATGTTTGTTAATACAAGAAATTTGAGAAATTATATGAATTGTTAACAGACAATCAAGTTAATTTGGATTAAATATATCATGAAATAACTGTACATTTTGACCATCTAAAATGGAGAACATCGTGAAACAAGCTTCAAGGCCCAAAGAAAGGGCACAAAGATCTTGTTGCGCAAGAATCAAATCTTATACAAACAGATCCTCACTTATAATAATTGACGAAAGATAAGTTGGCAGGACCAACTACTGCCTTCATAGGAACGATTTTTTTTTCCCAGTTTTCAGTCGTATAATTATTACATCAACCTAAAAATATATTATAATAACTTAAAACTTCATATAACCGAAAAGAAACAAAAGGAATGGGTTAATTATATTATATAAAATACAGATACGATGTTCATCAATTTATAATTTTTGGGATCGCTTACTAAACAATTACCTTGATAAACACTTTTGGGTTCAATTACCAGACCAGATGAACATAACGAGGATCAAGAATATTACTCCGTAAGAGGGAAATCAATGATCAAAAGTCTTGACTAGTAAGTGAATGTGATAATTCTTCCATGGTAAGTGTATGTCAGGTCATAAATACTTACTTTTAATCGTTGGAAATGTTACCTTATAAGGTAAGTGATAGTGGTAACTCTATCAGTAGATATTTATCTAGTGAGTGTTTGGTAAACAGTATTTTATTCACATGTCTAAAAAAACAATAACAACTTGTTTTTATTTTCTTTTTATTTTGACAATTGGGTTTTAAAATTTGATATCAGAACGATTTAATTTTTAGAAGTCGTAACATAAATAATTCAATTTCGTTAGTTTACAAGTTTTTCTATGATATTTATTTTTAACTACTTAAGGGGTGTTTGGTTAGAAATATTAAACAATAATTAATAAAAATAAAAATAAAAAAATTGTTTGATTTTCTATAATAAAATGGGTTCAATTCTTTGAAAAGTCCAAAATTCAATTCCTGATTAAACAGGGACATTTTCATTCCTATTATTCTAAAAGTTGATTGGATTAAAAATAAAATAGAACATTAATTGTTACGTTTATGTAGGATATCAAACGTCGTTCAGAATGAACTTCGGTGTTCATTCTGCCAAACTACAATAATAGTATATCACTCTGGCTGGGACCGACACCGGTTTCAGGCAAACGCAACAATCGTCGGTTCCAAGAAGCTTGCAATAATGTCGGATGATGGTGATTTACCTTGGAGGTTTTCTGCAGATCAAGGATTAGAGGATCAATTGTTCGATAGAGATCGACACATAAGGTACCTCGAGATGAATTACCACCTATTGCCATCTCCGTACGAGGGTCAAGAGATCATCCGTCTTACTCTCGCCTACTTCACCATATCCGGCCTCCACATCCTTGATGCACTCGATCGTGTGAGTCCTCGCCACTTATTTTCTTGATATTTAGTATATTTACTCTCTCTTTCATTGGCGAAATTAAGATATGAGTTTGTTCAATTAGGTTATTTGTTGCTTAAGATTAATTGCTCCCAACTACTGAGTGCTCTTTGATAGCAATTGACTTGGAAATTGTTTACATACTTGGCTGAAATATAGCATTCCAAAGATATAGATACTTGGGACTCCATCTCTAGGAATAATGGACTTCGATTGGACAGTGGCGTGCTTTAAAACGTTTCAGGAAATGGCTTGTTACAATATTTCAAACCTGATATTACTGGATTTATTTGGAAAGTAGTGTTTGTGGGATATTATTAGTGTTTGTTGAAACCTTAACGCACAACATATGCCTCTATACCACAATAATCTATCTGCTGGGTGTGGAGGAAACCATTACATAAGTATTATCAGGATATGCAGGTTGTCGAAATAGTATCATTCCTATGTATGTTGCTGTTATTTAGATTAAAGATAGGGAGCGTGGGATGTGGGAGATTGGTGAGTATGATATCAAATATTTGTTTGCTTATTGTATGTGTAATGTAGAAGTCCTAAGAAAACCCAAACGGCACTCATATTTTGAGTGATTAAGTGCCTCTACATATTTTTCAACAAATAAATTATTGCACTTACTGAAACCGAAAAAATTGATTTCTGGAACCTATAAAACTGGTTATTGTGGTAAAATCATGGAATGAATCAAAAAACCAACAAATCTTCGTATTTTGAGAGATTAAGTCCCTGGACATTTTGTTAACGAATAAATCCTTGCACTTGAATGAAAGGAAAAACAAATAATAAGTATACAAGATCCTACTGAAGCATGAAGCGCATAATGTTAATGTCCAAAAATTGAAACCAAAAGTAAGGCAAGGAGTTTGTGATGAACTCACCCAAGCTGATTGATTGTAATCGCCTTGAAGATACCAAATCTAAATCTTTGAGGTTGAAGATACTAAATCTACTACAAGCAATCAATTTTCTTCTATCAAACTTCCCAATGGTACACACAGTCAACGTTTTTAAAGAACACTAAAGTTTCAAAACCGTAATCTGAACAAGGTGGAGTGAGCTGTGAGCCGTGATTTTTTGGTTAATGTTTAATTAATATGTATGCAGTGTTGGCGTGTTGCAGACACGCAGGTGAATTTGACTCTACAGACATATTAATATGCCAATTTATAATGCTTTTTTAGGTTGATAGAGAAGCTGTTATCAATTGGGTCCTGTCATTGCAAGCTCATCCTAAGAATGAAGCTGAACTGAACAATGGTATGAACTAGAGCTCTGCCTCTTTAGAAATGTGTGATGTTCCTCTCATAGTTCATGACTATGGTGTAGAAGTCACTGAGCCTACTTGTGGGTTGGTTACTGCAGGACAATTCTACGGATTTCATGGTTCCAGAAGTTCTCAGTTTAAATCTCTTGATAATGGGGTATGAAGTCAGGTTAATCACTGTATTTATTCAAAAAATCGTCTGTACAAGAAGTGTCGTATTTTCAGCTTTTCTTTTCGTTCAGGTGTATTTTTCTTAAGTTCGATATCTGCTTTACAGGTTTCTGTTCCCAATAACAGTCACTTGGCAAGCACATATTGTGCCTTAGCCATATTGAAGACTGTTGGCTATGACTTTTCACTTATCGACTTTAGTTCAATTTTGAAGTCAATGAAAAATCTTCAACAACCTGATGGGAGGTAACTGTATACTTGCAATTTTATTTTTAACTTTTGGATCATTCTATTCTGAAATTATACATATTGAGTAATGTGTAAACCTATTTTGGATCATACTTGATGTGATTGAAATAAAACTTAGCAGTTAGCACCATGTTATAATGCTATTTCAATCTAACTAAGCACAATTCATAACAACGGCACCTGAATTTTTGAAGAAAACTACATTGTTACATATGATGCTACATGTTTTATAAGTAGAATTCTCAACCAGGTATGAGCTCATTGGTTTACTTATATCCATGCTATCTATAGTTACACTCCTCCCTTCTCTATGAAAGCTTGGAGGTACAATGGAATTGCTTCACATTTATTGGCCCACATATTTCTTTTACTTCTTCTTTCAAATGAGCTGGATTCACACATCCATAGTGTTTCTTACATAAAAACATAGAAATTTGATATTAAAAGAAATAACTTTTTTCTGCTGTAACTAGCTTATATATAGCCTCTGACAACCATTAGTCCATGATACTGCATTTGATTACACTAGTCTTATCATTTTTATAGGATCTGCATGCACATGCCTCAGTGGAGACCCTTTGCTTGAATAGTGTTTAGTGGAGATATAACATGCTTTTGCTTAGTTAATTTTGTTTCGTTTACTTTCCTTTTTTTCTTTGTGGTTTTATTGATCTTCCTGCCATGAATTATATTGATTATTCTTGCTTCCTTACTTCTTTGTGCATCAGTTTCATGCCCATTCATACAGGGGCAGAGACGGATTTACGGTTTGTATATTGTGCTGGTAAGATTCTACATTTTCCAGCAACATGTCTAAATTTAGTTCTTTCTAGATTGAATTTCATTGTAGCCTCTTGATCTTTTAGCTGTTATATCTTCTCTGTTGGATGATTGGAGTGGCATGGATAAAGAGAAGGCCAAGAACTACATATTGAGTTGTCAGGTATATTATTCACCTTCTCAAGTGCCCATCCCCCAGGTGTTGTCAGGTTGTGTCAAGGAGAATGCTCATGTTATGTATATACTTCCTTTCAACATCACAAATCTTACTGTAAACTTAAAAAGAAGGTTGCTCCATCTTGGTTCCACCATATGAATGGCACCAGGGATCAAGCGGAAATTTTCCAATTTTTTTTCCCAAAGATAGTTATGTTTCATTTTTATTTTTGTCCTGCACTTCTTAATGTAGGGTTTAACTTAGTGGTTGACCACTTGAAGTATTTCATTCGATTAAATATTGAAGAGAGTCGGAAATGCGGAAGAAGAAATGTTTTGTTTTGGGTGCAATATAAGTAGTATGTAATACAGTTGTTTTGTAGAAATGGGTCCCATTTTTTTTGCCTTGCCGAAACCAGAATTATAAGATATCGTGTTCTGAAACTCATGCCTATGGCTTATAAGACAATGTTTCCTTGCAGTCATATGATGGGGGCTTTGGACTAATTCCTGGTCAAGAGTCTCATGGTGAGTTTTCTTGCTGTTTTTGGCATGCATATGCATACTTCTTCTAATTGTAATTTTTTTCCTCAGTCAATAGAGTAGTAACTTAATTTTTAAATGCTTTCTTTGGCCCAAAAATAGACGCACAACATTTGACTTGGCATGTAGTTTAATAAAAATGATTGGTTATTGGTCAAATATCTAAACTGTCTCTTAACAAGGATAAAATAAAATTAAAAAAAATTAAAAACTGTGAACAGATTCAAAGTCAACAACATCATAGTAATGATCACTATCAGCAGAAAAGCTACTTTGAATTGAACACTTACCATTACCAAGCAATGAAAGGCTGCAATTTTTGGGACAACCCAAAAAGGAAAGCATGACATTCTTTTGGGGATGGAGATAGCAATAATTTACATATTTTTTTGTGGTAGAGATCCAATGATGAACTCTTACTATGACTATATGATTACTGTAGCGAGATCTTTATTGTGCTTTAATTTGCTAATAACAATGTGCATATTCTTAAAAAACAATTACTTCTGTAATTTCCTAGTTTTTTCAATTGATTTTCTTGATTAGATGTTTCTATTCAGCACCTATAATTGCTCAAAATTAGTTCTGGCCATTTTTTCTGAGTTTTGAGTATATGCATTATCTTGGAGTAAAAGTACTGATAACATGAAAACTGGAATTTATGATAAGAATTTTTATTTCCTAAAATTCTTTTTCGAACCGAGTTTTTTACTCATAAGCCATTCTTACTTCTAGAGTCGCAGGTGGTGCAACTTATTGTGCTGTTGCATCTCTGAGGTTGATGGGATTGATTGAAGATGACCTAGTTTCTCGATGCACATCCTCTTCCATCATAGATGTGCCATTGCTTCTAGATTGGTGCTTGCAGGTACATTTTCTGTTAGATGTTATGTGAAGTTACAGGGGGTCATTGTGAAGGTCATGAATATTTGGCTGCAATCATCTTTCTCGTGTTCCAGAGGCAAGCAGATGATGGAGGGTTTCAAGGAAGACCTAACAAAATTAGTGACACGTGTTATGCTTTTTGGTGAGTTCACTGTAACTGTAGAATTCAGTTTTGTTATCTAATTTCTTTTGGTGTTGATTGGTTTTACTCTCATTCTGTAGGGTTGGTGGAGTTCTGAGGATCTTAGGAGCTAACAACTTCATTGACGAAATAACCCTGCGCAAATTTTTGCTGACATGCCAATCCGAGGTCTGCTACTTCTCCAATCCCCATTGTATTTTTTGCTACTCCCTTCTCCTTAATTTACCGAAATAATTGACATGGAACATATATTGAGATATACCTTCGAGTATGATTGTGTAATTCTTTCCAGTCTCCAAAAACCTAGTGAAGCTGTTTTCTAGGGCTAAAAAGGGTTATCCAATTCATTTTAGCCTTTTGATATCTTTATTTTGTGGGTCTCGATGGTCGGAGAAGAAATGAAGTTGCAAGTGGCATACAACTTATAACCTTAACTCAACACGAAAAATTGCTTTGATCTTTGAGGTCAGACCTAAAATATTTCAAATTAAAATCTCAACACCAACTTTGGCTATGTGTACTTTTTACGAGTTTATTGGAGTAGTTTAAGCTCTCTTGGAAATTTGTTAACTTGGAAAAACTCCTAACTTAAGATTATTCTGATTGAACTCGAAGTCCTACGGAAGTGTCTCGAGTTCTGATTACCTGAATATTACTGCAATATTCCATATCTCCATCATCTCTTAAATACCAACTAATATATCAGTTATTTAAAGGGTAAATATGCACCCTTGGATTAATACATTTGTCATAAAAGGAAATGTTGTACTACCTCGGTCCCAAAATAAGTGTACTTTCCAATTCTACCATTAATTATAAGATGGAGAACTTCATTACTCTTTCTATTACGAAGGGTAAATTTGGCATTTAGTTAATAAAAAAATGTAAATAACTACAATGTTTTAGTGAAAAAGGAAATTATTGCAATTCACATGAAGCCAAGGGAGTTGATGGTTACCTTCTCTGGTCAGATTATGGCCTCAAGTGGTTTATCGTTTATCAATTATCTTTTTTCCTTTCTTCCTTTTTTTTTTGGCAGTATGGTGGTTTCAGCAAATTCCCTGGCCAACTACCGGACCCTTATCATTCGTATTATGGATTTACAGCATTCAGCATGTTGCAAGAAACCGGTCTCAACTCTTTCAACGTAGAATTGGGTATAAGCACCGTCACACTGTGATCCATCTGCACATGCTTTTTCAGGTCATCCTGTGTCATTTATCGTGTAACTTTATTACACCCATTTACCAATGCGCACCATTGCCTCGTGCATCAGGCAGTTTGTATGTTATATTTTATGTGCATACCTGGCCTTCATTTCATGAAATTGAAAGGGGCTCTTGCATCATCTTAAGCCCGTAAAATTTAGCAGAACACTGCTATCATGATTTGTGTCACATGCATGACGAATTGTACGTGATACTATATTCGAGTTTCTGTAGACCTAATCAGTCATATGGTTGAATACCATCACAAAAAAAGGGACAATGAATTGACATGAGGTCGTGTTTGGAAATTTAGTTTGTCCCTGGTGCTTGTAGCTTTAAGTTTTGTTTTTTTTTCTTTTGAAGTTTGTACTGCCAGTAATTGGTACTTCTCTGCAGAACTTTTAGTCAAAATGACATATTTGCCCCTCATTGTTTTCATTGCTGAAGAACCTAATCACTTTGAATGGTCTTTCTTTCAAAGTGCATGTTTTATTGAGGTGAAGCAAAAATGCATTTATTTTGTTTCATTAACGATGGTTGGAACCAAATTTTAAGGGATTGTTTGTTTACTTCTTAATAGTTCTATTAGGAGGCAGCTTCTGAATTACTAAGAGGTGAATCTTGTTTGACAAAAAAAAGATCCGTCCCTTAATGGTTTTAAAACCCTCTGAATGATTTTGTATCATGTGAATCCCTTAACCATTTAGCACTCAAATTCCATTGTAAACAATTATCGAACAATTATATTTCATTTTGCATTATATCATGAGAGTCTCTTGATCATTCTCACCACTTAATCATTCAGCAACTGTCAAACAGCCTAGTACAAAACTGGTAGATTATTAAGAGCATCTCCAATAGGTATGTTATATTTTCTCTATCTTTTAGTTTTGGACATTTTCTCCTTCTTACCCTTTTTCTTCAATTTGGAGGAGAGTTTAATATAGCTATTGGAACAAACTTCTTCTAAATCTACAAAATTTCTAAAATAGCATAGTTGTTGGAGATGTTTTAAACAACTTATGTCAAATTAAAACTCTAAAACGTCGCACAATCTTTCACTAGCCTATCTCATTTTCACGTGCCTAGTCTTTGTTTGCATACCGAACGTGCCTTCATAGGTTTCAATCTTTTTGTGACGTTGTGTAACAGTCTTTGGTTGGAGTTACCATCGTGTCAAAAACTTTTCTGTTAAAAAAACGTTGCTTTATTGCATAACACTATTACATTTACCCGTACTATATCGTCTTGTGATGCTTTTATGTTGGAAAGTACTACGCCAGGTTCGTTAGATACACGTTATCGGTTTCTGCCACTTTCTTATATTAATGCATACATTTTACACAATTCAACGAATAAATGATAACAAAAAAGGGGAAGTAGAGTAGAATAGGAGTAAGTGTAAAATGGTGGTGCAAAGGCAATGTGGGGGTTGGTAAAACTTTCGGCACATGTACCCCATTGTCACGGGTATCGTTGTTGTTATTTGTTGTTTAGGTAAAAGTCCAAGTCATTAGCAACACAAAAGAGACACCCAAAATTCCTAATTTCAATCTTGTTTTTTTGTTGCTTTTCTTAAATAGGTCAAATTACAATTCACCCCCATGCCCTGCCCCCACTTTTTTTCATTATTTGCCAATCCGCCCCTTGAGCTTTTCATATCGATACAAATCCAACCAGATGAACTTAATATATCTCGTTCATAATTGGAAGCAGGGTTTAGAAGATGGGGTGTATGTGGGCTTGTTATCTATCGTACAGAGTAGAGTAGTTGTTGCGGCTTTTAGGGAAAAATTGTACGAGACATGTTTTTGGCAAAAGAAATGATGATCACACACACGTTAATAATAGTTCATGTGAGAATTATTACATTGAAGGCGGAATATCTTCATAACCAAAAAAAATTTCTTGACGTTTATGGTCCTAAGTATTTATTGAATGTGGGAGTTGATTTTTAATGGTGAAAATCTTATGCAAACTTGTGGGTACCTAAAAAAGTGCAAATAATTGTCCCCTAACATATTGCCCGATATACTCGAGTAAATTTATCTGTTATAAAAGGTACTCGATCCATGGGTACCTGTGGGTCCATTCAAGATCATTACTTTTTTTTGATTATTTATTTATTTATTTATTTAATTATTAATATTTTGAGTTTTTAAATTAGTTAGCACTAAAAACAATACATTAAAAATCTTGATTATATGGTAAAAAAAATTAAAGATTCGTTTTTTTTCAAATTAAAAGTATTTTAAAATGTTATTACTTTTTATAAAATATGAATTGTAGGGTAATTGACCCCCAAAAGTGGCATGTGCGACAAACGTGTGATTTTCTTCACAAGAATTTGATGGTTTGGGTCTAAATAGGTAAAAGAACAGAACTTTAGGGTTCTCTTTTGTAGTAATGAAAAAGATAAGGTTCAAGTTGCAAAGTCGTGTAATCTTCAGGGTTATAATCGTATCTCACTCTTGATCTTTTAAACTTTTACCCCCTATGAGCCTGTGATTCGTGCTTGTTGGTATGTTAATCATTATTACTATTAGTGGTCCCAAAGTTATATGTACTCTTCAAAAATGGTCCCTAAACTATAAGTGATTTGTACAATCCTAAATATGTTAATTCGTTGCAAACAACGAACTCTACGAGTCCATTTTTTGACATCTACCTTTCATTTAATGGTACAACGTCAACGTTTTAGCATATTCAGATAGGTTCATTCGTCTAGTCATTTTCTTCGTCAAACAAAGATACAATAACCTAACTTACCTTATTATTTTTAAAAAATCAAAAATGAAAGTCACTCTTTCTAGCTGCTAATACAGACACAACCAAAACCACGAAAACTAACATTATCATATGATATGAGCACAAAAGATTGCTCTCCTGGTAAAATTCAAATAGATATCAGTAAAAATACTTAATTAACCGGTATCTATTTGAGTTTCTAAATTTAACGGTAATGAACTACAAGCTTAAGATTAATAACGTGTTCAGAGGGGAATAAAATCGAAAAGATAAAAGAAAAAGCTCACCCTTTTTCTAATAATATTAAGGGTTTGTCTAAAAAAACTCAATAGACTTTAGTGTTTGGAATGATTAAGTCTTTGGACAATTTTTTAGAATAAATAAGTCATTGGACATTTCAAAACATGTTAAATAACTCATTGGACTTTCTAAAACCTGTTAAGTACATATTTATGACTTATACAACTGGTTAATGTGGTAAAATAATGAAAAAAGTCTGAAAAAAAACCAATAAATTTTTATATTTTGAACGATTAAGTCCCTAAACATTTTTTGAACCAAATGAGTACTTAGATCTATAAAAATAAACAAATATACCAAAAAATTACTTACATTTACGGAAAAATTACTTATATTTAAAAAAGAGTATTGATAAAATTTATTTTAATTAAAAATAAAATATATTCTCTTAGTGATTTTTCAAACTAAAAAAAATAAAAAAAATATTTAAAAATATTACTGATTAAATTTATGTTAATTAAAAATAAAATATATCTCGTATGTGATTTTTCAAATTAAAAAAAAATTAAAAGATTACCGATGAAATTAAAATAAATTCCATCAATAATCTTCTTTAAATCTTTTTTTTAATTTGAGATATCATATACAGAATATATTTTATTTTTAATTAAAAATATATAATTAGTAATACTTTTTAAATTCTTTTTTAATTTGAAAAATCACTTACAAAATATTTTTTATTTTTAATCAAAATATATTTATCAATAATCTTTTTTAAACGTAGATACTTTTTTGGTATATTTGTTTCATTTTATATATGTAAGTACTTTTTTTGTCCAAAAAATGTTTAGAGACTTAGTCGCTGAAAATATGAAAGTTCATTGGGTTTTTTTTTTCCTTCATGTTTTTCCCATATTTTATCATATTAATCAATTTTATAGGTTATAAGAATGTATCTAACAGGTTTTAAAAAGTCTAAGGATTTATTTAACAGGTTTTGGAATGTCCAAGTACTTATTTGTTCCAAAAAATTGTTTATGAACTTAATCATTCCAAATACTAAAATCCATTGAGTTTTCTTAGACTTTTCCTAATATTAATGTAAGATAATAAAATCGTCTTTAGTCTAAACTCTAAAAGGAGAGTTGAGGATGCAATCCACAATTCTTTGACAAAAAAAACATTAATCAATACTAACATCATCTCAATTATGAGATAAAGGATTACACTTAAGAGAATACTGTCCCCCACCTTCTCAAGAAAACAACAGGATGCATCTCATAAACATGTCTTTACACCAAATCTTCATATCCATTCACACACAAAAACCTAATTCTTTTCTTAAGATCCATATGAAAAAGTACCAAACTTTACTTTTGGGTTATCTTGACCGTACCATGATATAACCGTAACTCATTTAAAGTTGTATACCTAAATATACCGTCTACCATGGTATGCAAAAATATATCCTTTGGTTGGATTACCTTAAATGAGTTTTCAAATAGGAGCATGGCTTTCTAAAATAAAAATAGCTCAATAACCTTACCTGACAATGACATGCCCCTGGTTTAAAACAGTTTGTCCTTGATTAGAAATACAGTGAAGGCTCTTTTTGCAAAACCAGCTTCTAGAGAAGGTTATTGAGTTAAATCAGCCATGGCAACAACAGGAACAAAACAAGAAACAAAAAGATGTCCTGACAGAATCAGAGTCAGTTTGGAATCACTATTGGAGCAAATATCGAGCGAGTGGTACAGAAGCCATCTAGATTCTAGCCAACATACAGATTTATTTAGCTTTTGATGTGATCCAGCTTTACATGATCACAAGTTTGCTGAACCACCCTAAAATTATGTCTAACCACCACACTGAGCATAAAGATTCAATCAGTTCTTATATTGGAAAATGGGAAATTGGAGAAGAAAAGTGTCAATTTCATTAACTGATAGTAACTCTACTTGCAAGTTGCAATGGGCTTTTGTTGAATTAAAAGTTCTACTCAAAGCTCTCATACAAAGTTTTAAACATAAAATATGTGTACAAATAAGAACCCATTTTTGTTAAACTGATGAAGCTCTAATATGAGTTGGGATTCTTGTGAAATTGTGGTCTGAATGTTGGAGGGGAAGCAGCTAAAGGTAGTACCTGTGAAGAGCTTGAAGGGTACTGTGATGAGATGTTGTGAATATGATCAACCTCCCTTTCTTTAGAGACGATAAGTGTGATAAAAGATCCATTTTTATCATCTTCAGTATATTCATCATGCTTTTCAACAGAACCATCAACTTCAAATCTTTCAATCAGTTTTCTTCTCTGAAGTTTATCTTCAGCATCTCTCAAGAACTTGAACTTTGGAGGTGGTGATGCCCAAATCCTGTTGAATTCTGCATCACTTGACGACTGAAACAGAGGGCTAAAATATGTAGAATCCCTAGGAGTTATAGGAGGAGTCAAGTATGGTGGTGAAGCAATTGGAGTGAAAAATGGAGTATCCAAAGAAAGCACAACATCACTCAAACTCCTTCCTCTTGACCCCTTTTTACTCCTGTCTTCTGATTCCAAATCTTCCTTTGTTTCTTCTTTGATTGTGAAGAGAAATCTTGGTGGGCCAGAGAGGTTTTGCAGCCTCAGGAGCTCAGTTTCAACAGTGATATCATCATATTCTTCACCAAGTGGTCTGAGCCATAAGTTTGGATGGTTCAGTGGTTGCTGGGATGATGCAGCTTGTGGTTCATGGACCTGGGTGTCTGTGGTTAGCCCTGTAGAGCTCAAAGATGAGGGCTTTCTCCAACAAAACATATACAAGAATTCTCTTGCTGGGCTGTTGTAACTTTCTTGAATCTCTCTGTTAGTTACCCTCTTCTTCCACCATAACAAATAGTAAAGTTCAGCAATTAGAGCTAGCAATAAACACCCAAAAACAAGACTCAAACCAAGTCCTACACTACTTGAAGACCTCATGTTTGTTTTCACTCACATCATAGATGCCAAAACAACACTTCTCTCACATGATGAACCTCACAGGACTTTTCACAAACAGTTGGTGTTCATGAAAGCTCCAGAAAACGTCGTGAAATCAATGTAGTATGGAGAAGCCCTGCTGCTCTTATCTTTATCCAAGCAGAAAAGAGACCGAAGAGGCCGACTTAGACCATAAAACTTTGGCTCCAAAAATAGGAGATACCCCCGCAAACCATTAAAGTGCTATTTTATCTACAGTGCTAAAAACAGAGAAAAAAATGTTTTCTTTTACTTGAAATCAAACTCTTAAATGATTATGCATGATTAAACTCATGAATCACCTTTTCACTTTATACCCACAAAATTAAACCAACACCCATCACTGCATTTTCTCCACATTGCAAAAAAAATTCAAATTTTTTGATGTAACATAAAATCTTCAATATAAAGATTCTTTTTATAAGATATAAAAATGAAAACTTTATTCTCGATAATAATCTGAAAAAAAAAAAAAAAACTAATCGCAACAATATGTATTTCTCTCGTCATAATCATTTTTTGATGGTTGTTCAAATTTGCTGAATTTTACGTTCTCTCTTATTTTTTCTATTTTAGAGAATCTGTTAGAGCAAAATTTATTTAAAATTTGTTAGAAAATCTGTTGAAGATGCTTCTATTTTAAAAAACAACAACATGAGCTCCTATAAAAATCTTTAAACATCCAATCTAGTTAACTCAGTTTTAGTAATTACCGACTAATATTCACTACAAAGCCAAATACCATCGAAAAGTATCACTAAAATATCACAAATAAATTTTCCTGTTTGGTAAATAGTATCGTATCAAATTTGGTGATTAAAGGGTCGTATAGTATTAACTAAATGCTGATTGGTAAGAGTTAGTATGTTCATTTAGTTTATCGGGTCATTATTGAACATTAAAATGAATTGTTGGTAAGCGTCTATCACGCGAAGAAATCATCATCATCACTTATCCTATAAGACTCTCGATCATCGTCTTACTTTTTACTAACTAAAATTCTCAGTTTTTATTATTTTCGTCCACTAAAGAAGTGACCAGTGCTTGATAAACGATCCTTAAATACTCACTAAAACAAAAATATTTTGTATTATATTGTTTGGTTGGAGATGGGTTCGTAAGCATCCACATTATTTTGATAAATCAACTAAAAAAATTCAACTTTTAACTAGTATTATGCAACAAGAATCTAAAATAACAGTGTTTGTCCTAGTGGTATTGTAGTCTTTGGTCTCCTAGGAAGTCAGCTGTTCAAACTTCAACAAATGTGAGGAGGATGTGTGAGTTTATTTGTTACATTTATCGTATATAAATATTATATATATATTTTAAAAAAATCTAAAATGTACGACACACTAGTTAATTTAAGGAGGTTATAGTGAAAAATCTCATCCATCTAGGATTTAAATCTAGACCTTGTCAAGGTACTTGTGGTCATGGACATTCACCTGCGATGACTCCAAATCATTTATAATCGCTCAAAGGATTAATCTGTGCGTATAAGTTGACCTGAAAACCCATGGTTACTGTTCCAAAATATCACTTTTCACTTAAAAAATGATTTATGTGCTTTAAATTGTAATTTATTATAGTGAAAAACGCATTGATATTTGTTGGGTTAGGAATAAATGAAATATAAAAAAGTGGATAAAAAAGAGTGGGAAATCCGAAAAAGCTTAATTTATGGTTAGAGAAGGGGATGGCCACAAAATCACATGGCATCACATAAGCAAGAAAGTGATGTATCATTGAATAGTGTCAGTTTTTGCCCTCTTCCTATGTTCCTTTTTAGGAATCCTATTTCTACCAAATTAATTAAATTTGTACAATATTTTGTTTATAACTTGTAAAGATTCATATCCGAATTCGTGTAACTAACTGCAGTTAAACATAATCAAATACAAGATAAACATCTTATTTTAAATATAAAAAATCTAAAATAAAATTAAGATAATAATTGAATTCTAACATGATACTTAATTATCTTTATAAAATCTTATATTATTAAACCAAAAATAAATTATTTCATTATCAAACGGAAATTAAATTATAATAAAAAAATTAAATTATAAAAATTACACAAAAAATGAGAATTTAATTTGATACTAATATTGATATATTGTTTTTCAAATTTTTATTATGTTTTCAAATTTATATTTTTTTTCAAAAATAAAATCATTATCTTTTTTCTTAAAAACACATAAAATCATATTATAACATCGATAAAAACAAAAAATAAAATAAAACATTAAAATTAAGATGTATCTCGTTACAATGCGCGAATACCCTTCTAGTATGATTCAAATTAATTCACCAAGTATTTAATAAAAAAATATTTTTTAACTATCATAATTTAAAACCGAACACATTAATATACTATGATGATTTTTTATTTTTTAAATATAACTATGTATTTAAAAATTGAAAGTTTAAATACAATAAAACAAACTAATTCAAGTACTTGTTAACTCGGTTTTTAGTGTTGCATTATAATGAATTATTCAAATTACATAATGTATTATTATTAAATAAAATTATTCTTGATCAAATTGTTAACCTGAGTATGAATATACACAATGGGTAAATTGTTAATCCGAGTGAACATATCACAAGTAAATGTTTTTGAAGCGTATTGTTAATTTCGTTTTCAGTGATATGAACGGTATGGAGAAAATTATCACGAAATCACCGATGAACATATTTTCATAAGTGTACAATGTTCATTATCTGTTAATAAATGAAAAGGTTGGAACAAGCAAGTGAACTTTTGTGAACATATACGAACATTATTCAAATATTAATGAACATAATCGTATTGTTCATGTATCAATAAACTGTGAAGGTAACATTCATAGTGTTTTTTTACTTTCATAATGTTTTGTTGTGAAGTTTTAAATGTAAAAATGTGGTCTTACGATCTCATGAAAACATACCAGTCTCAAGTGAAGCTAACCATATATACATTTTGATTTTAATATTTTATTTTATTTTTTATCTCAATCGATGTTATAATATGGTCTTATGTGATATTGAAAAAACGATGGTGTTTTTATTTTTAAATAAAATATAAATTTAAAGATATCATAAATTTTTAATAAAATTATATCGATATTAGTATCAAATTAACTATTTAAAATTCCTCATTTTTTGTGTAATTTTTTAATTCAAAATTTTTAATTACAATTTAATTTAAGTTCATTAACGAAGTAATTTATATTTGGTTTACTAATATAATTTTCTCATAAATATAATAGTTAATTATTTTGTTAGAACTCGATAATTATTTTAATTATATTTTAGATTTTTTTTGTATTTTAAAATGATATGTTTAACCTATATTTGATTATGTTTATCTACAGTTAGTTACACGAATTCAAAAATGAAGCTTTAATAAGTTGTACTTATGCATAATTTACTTGTAATCTTGAATTTTAAGTAATATGCATCAATATACAGTACTTCATGCATAAAAAATGATTTTTAAAAGTTTGTGTCAAATGTTTTATGATATAGTATAGATTAAAATGATATGTTTATCTTATATTTGATTATGTTTATCCACAGTTAGTTACACGAATTCAAAAATGGAGTTTTAATAAGTTGTACTTATGCATAATTTACTTGTAATCTTGAATTTTAAGTAATATGCATCAATATACAGTAATTCATACATAAAAAATGGTTTTTAAAAGTTTTTGTCAAATGCTTTATAATATAGTATAGATATATATGAGGTTTACTTTGCAAACCACGTTATTTTTACAAACCGTACAAACCTCATTCAACTAATTACAATTTTTCATTTTGTTCATTTTTTTGTAATTATAAGAGGTTGATTAATCAAATTTTATTGCGAAGGGTATTAATCATGGATTATCATCTTCATTATATTAATTTTAAAGAAATAATGAAACAGTTTTATTAAAATTTTATAAGTATTATATGAAACAATTTCATAACCATATATGAAACTACTTCATCAAAAAAAATATTATATGAAACAATTTCATAAGATCAAACAATTTCATAAGATCAAACAATTTCATGATTTTTTTTTTCGTAAAACTAAACAATAAGGGATCTCAACAATTAGATGCACATTAGGACCAGATGCACAAAATAAATGCTTTTAACAAAAGCAATTCATGGATGAGTTTGAGATTAAATGTGATCAACGGTTCATATTCTCTCACCTTAACTCTCATTCACGATCCTTTGCCTATATATATTATCCTTCTGGAACCCTACTTTTCGATAAGAATCCTAAATTTTATATTTTGTTTTGTCTATATTTAAAATCTGTAAGTTAGAAATGAAGTTAATTTCAATATACTATTTACCATAATAATTTATTTAGAAGTAAAAGTAATTATAAATAAACACCATTTAAATTTGGAAAAATTGCATCAAAATAGAACTAACTTTCACCTGATTCCTATTTTGGGAAACCAACTTTCAAAATCGTCATTTAGGGGTCTCTATCAAACTTTTTGTTTATTTAAGGGTCTAGTTGATCTGTTGAACAAGTAATTTAAGGATCTCTATCAAATTCTTGGTTTGATTTGTCAAATTTGATTTAAACGTTAATATTGATACGAATTGGTTAGATATAAAAATCTTGAATGCGATATTTAATATTTATTTTTTATTGCATCAATTAATTTTTTTTATTAAATTGATTTTTTATTGCATTAGTAAAAAACAATTTTTATTGTGGTAATTTGGATTTTTTTTGAAAAAATCTTCAATTTGATATCTGAATTAAAAAAAAACGAGATCTGAAAGGAAAAATATATTTTATTGCATTAATTTTTGAAAAAAAAAACAATTCTATAATTATTTTGCAAGTTGATTCCTCAAAATAGAAATCAGGTGAAAGTTGGTTCCCCAAAATAGGAATCAGGTGCAAGTTGGTTTCCCAAAATAACGACTTTGAAAGTTAGTTCTCTAAAAAAAATCAGATGAAAGTTGGTTTCATTTTTGTATAATTTTCCCTTTAAATTTTAATAAAGTATTGGTTTTAAATATTGTTCGTGTAAAATAGATGGGTTTCTCCCAAACATCAGGCCACTTCAGCCGATGCTACTGCTGATTGCAAAGCCCAGGCCCACTTGGTATTAAGGTAAATTTATAGATGCAAATTCGTAATTATTTGCCTCCTTTTTCTCTCTCTTTCTCAAAATATTTAATTATTGTGTGTTATCCAGTAAAATAAAATTTAATTATAATATTTAAAAAATATTAAAAATATTATATCATATTTTCATCGTGACGTAAAATTGATTTAATGGGTTTATTTATTATTTATTTATTTATTTATTAACTTGAATATTCAATCCGCTATGCGAGCCGACTAATCCCAGAACAACCAAGCAGATAGACTGGAGTTACCGTATTTGAACCTCCGTGGCCACAAGAGGATTTTTATTCCTCCTTGGATTTTGTATCAACTTGAGTATATATTGTTGTTCACTGAAACAAATGTTTGCTTTCTTATATAGTTTTTTTTATAATAAATACCTATAAATTATTGGATAAAAAATAAATAAAAAAATGAATATTGTAATTTTTATCTGACGTTCGAATCAAAAAATTATCAGATTTGAAAGAAACTCGAGTTAAAAAAAAAGAGGTATCAGATTTGATAATGATACTGTGTAATTACATTGTTTTTTTCTCAAAAACTATCACATATATTTTAAAAATCGGGTTTATAAACATTGTACAAGGCCAAAACTTACTAAATATAGATGATGTGTTATGACACAAACCTTAAACACATGTAAGATGATGTTTAAGAAAACATGTGTAAAGAAATAAAGTCCTGGTAAAACACTATGAATCCGACATCTAAACAATGTTAGAAGCCTCTTGTCTAACCTCTGTGTCGGAATCAGAATCCAAAAACTGAAACAATATTTGTGAGGAAGGAACAGCATTGGCACGACATACAGGACACGTAGAATGAGAATAAAGCCACATATCAATACACGGCACGTGAAAAGAGTGTGAGCATTCTGGTAAAGTCCGTAACTCTTCGCCCTCCTCAAATTCACACAAACAAATCGAACACATGGCATCATCATCACCCCTTTCCCTTCCACTTACTCTTAATCTTGACCCTTTCTGGTGTTTGTGTGATGGGATGAGAAGCACCACTGAGTTCTCCAAACTGTAATCGTTATCTTGATGACGGTTATGCTGGTTCACGTGGTGGGGTGGGGTAGGACGCCACCAGTAATTGAACCAGCCAACGGTGACGAAGTGGTAGACGGCCACCAGGATGGCTACCAATGACACGATCACCAAGAGGGAGATCAATTTGAGTGTCAAAGGGCTGTCTTCCATGATGCATTTAGAAAATTATGTGGAAATTATGGGATAATTTAGAAGGCGGCATATAGAATCTTGATTGTAATTGCGGACAATACAATGAAGCCAATTGTCCCATTTGATGATGTTCATGTTGGGTATCTTTAAATTCGTTGACTTGATCAACTCATCTTCCTAGTATTGTTTTATTGGGAAATAATAAATATTTAAAATTTATTTTAAATTCATATTTAATCCAGATTTTTCCAGTATATATTATATATACATACACCACCATAAATTAATAACAATTTTTTAAAAATATATTATATATTAATATAAAAAAATAAATTAAGTTATGAAAACACTACAAGAAATTACATTACATAAAACTCTTAATCCAAAATCAGTGGAATTGCATTCAAAAATATTGAGATATCTTAGTTAATACACGTCTCTTGCTTCATTGATTTTTAATAACAATGTTGCATCAAAAAATTCCCAGAGACGGTCTCTTCCTTCAACGATTTTTTATGGTGGTTTCATATTAAGGTTCTTAATTTCTCGCTTGCATTTAAAGTTAGTGTTGATGGATCCATTAAATTCTATCAATGAAGTTTACATGAGAGACGTTTTTGAATCTGAAGATCGGTTTATTCACTTAGGCGACAAAGGTTCTTCAATGCAATCGTTGATTGTTACATGATGAAGTTTGCAAGAGTCTTAGAAGACGTTTTGATGAAGTTGATGTTGGCAGTGATGTTGATTCATGTGATTTACCAAATGCATCCATGTAAAGAAATTATAAACACAACCGTAATGCATTTGAATTCATTCCAGATTTCGTACATATTCAGCCCCGTATTCAAATTCACTTCGAAATGAATCTTATACTAATGCATTAAAATTATAATAATGCATTTAGATTCAAAAGTGATTAAATAATGAAACAAGATTCAGTCCATAAACACAATAATGAATTAGATTCATTATTATAAACACAACAATACAATTAGATTCGTTAGTAGAAACACAATGAAACAAGATTTTTGCAATAAGGGTGCAGGCATTGCTCTCATGTTAGGAGAGAAAAGAAGAGAAGAAACCATCACTTGAAAGAATCAATGAAGAAATATATCATCGTTGGGAAAATTTTGATGCAACATTTTAGAAAAAATCGATGAAGCAAGAGACGTGTATTAACTAGGATTTCTCAATATTTTTTTAACGCGATCCCATTAATTCTGGATAATTATTATTAAAAATTTTAAAAAATCAATAATTGTGTTATATTTAGAATTTCTGATATTACTCTTTAACAATTTAAAAAATAAAAAAAATGAAAATATTAAATGGACGGTTTGAATTGGGGTTGCATTGGTTATAATAATTATGCGATTGATTGTATTTGAAATATTATATATATATATATATAAAGAGAGAGAGAGAGAGAGAGAGAGATATGACGTTTCAAATGCAATCTATTACATTTGTATAACCAATGCAACTCAATCAATTGAGATATTTATGAAAATAATGAAAGTTAATTTATTATAATTTGAATATTTATGGAAGACGACTATGACTTATTAATTATGATCAATATTTTATATTATGAAACAATCAAAACTTTTATAAAATCACATATTTATCAAATTAAATGGACAATTGAGATTGAGTTGTAGAAATGTGAAGAGTTGTATAATAACTCACTTCTCTCTCTCTCTCTCTCTCTCTATATATATATATATATATATATATTATGCGTGTGAGAGATAATTTAATGTATCATAATTTACA